TGAAAGTCATCATAACTATACAGAATAGAATTTTTAAGTTAACTCATACTCCTAATATTTTTGGTCTCAAACTTGTGCGCCCTATTGACTATGCTAGTCACTCGGATAGTTGTTTTGTCTTCATATATATATAAAATCTACTAATAACTATTTCTTTACACTTCTAAAATAGGACTTAATAATAAAGATAAATTTCTTGAAGATATAATTTTTATTAAAAACTAAAAAAGAAAGGTTTTCATTCTGGATTACATAAATAAAAGAAGCTCTGATAATTGTTTTGTAATTTGCATAGTAATGATTGAGAAGCAAAAGTAGATCACGATCTAGATCCGGGGGGTGGTGGTGGTGGTGAAGAACCATCTGCTGGTGGTGGAGAACCGCCCGGTGGTGGTGGTGGTGGTGGTCGAGAACCATCTGCTGGTGGTGGAGAACCGTCTAGTGGGGGTGGTGGTGAAGAACCATCTGCTGGTGGTGGTGGTGGAGAACCGCCTAGTGGCGGTGGTGGCGGAGAACCACCTGGTGGAGGTGGTGATAAGCCGTTATTGACTGGGGCTGAGATCACCGCAGCAACTAATGCTAACTAGACGAAAAGAGACACACAATAATTGCGGATGGAAAAGACGAATAAAAAAAAATCAAGGAACAGCTCTTACCATAGGTATAGCAATTAAATAACGCATAACTGTATTGTTACGTTACTGTCTGGATCGTTAACGAAAGTTTTGTTTTGATGTACAAAATCGGCCTTTTTATACTTTTTCTTATACCCGACAAAATATATTATGCATTTCTCACCACCTACGACTGATGGGCGTGACATACTTTGTTTTTATCGTTCCTACTCGATGACAACACTGATGGCTAATGTAGTATGACGATGCATTTCGAAAGTAATTGCCTTCTTTAATGATAAATCACTGATGTGTCATGCTTGATCAGTTTGTTTTTCGTTCACCCTTTTATATATTCAATATAAATTTTCATCTATCTAGAAAATCTATGATGCAGCTCTCTCAGGTTAATTAGAATAACACGTGAGGAATCTTTCTCCTAGTGTGCATTAAAAAGTATGTACGTGAGAAAAATTGTTTTTTTTCTCTTGATAGAAACATTATTGGCCATAACAACTATATTCACTTAATTAAGGCTAAAGTTCGATAGCAAATATTTGAAATTGTACTTTTTCAAGTAAAAATACAAGCACAAAGTACATCTGAAAAATACTGATACTTTGAGGAAAGTATTTTCGATTTACACTTATGAATAAAGGCGCAGAGTTTCGAATTACATTTTAGTATAATAATTGAGTTTTTATCAAAATGAAAGATGTCTGAATTAAAATTAATGGTCAATTGAATAGATTGAGTGAATTTCAGATGTTTTCTAAAAGTTTTAGTTAAAATAGACTTTCATGTTCGATGTATAAGATTTCAAAAAAAATCTTCAGCCACATTTCAAAATAGATCTGATAAATTACTTATATAAGCTAAATATCCTAAGGAGACTCAAATGAGGATCATCATTTATGAATTTTATTCTTCATTTTGAAGTAACTCAAAAGATAACACAAGATGAGTTTTACAAGAACTTTTTCTTGACTTTAATAACATACGTAAGAAAAGAATTAAAGCAACATATTATTTTCATCTAACTTGTTAGCATATGGCACCTCAATTATTCTAAAAAGTTTATCTGCTTAGTCACCATTGCAGACTATATCCTATAAAAATACAAAATAAATATTTTTTTCGTACTTAAATAGAAATATACTTATTCTAATTCTGATTATGTTATCTAAGCCCAATGATGAAAGAATTTTCTTTTGAGTTTTTTTGTTCTAGAAGAATAAAGAACAACAATAAACAAAGATGTTAACGGAACTATTGTTCTTACTGATGGTACTTTATCTTTATTTCAATTGGGAAAAAGTTGTCAGTGCAGTCCTTTTGGTGCTGAAAAGTGAAACTCAAATCTTCTTTACCTTCATTATAGCAATAAAAAAAAAACAATAGAAAAATATAAAAAGAAGAATTTTTTCGATTTCTGATGGACGTTTTATTTTTCATTTTCTTATGTTTTTTTTTTAATTTGATATTTGTATAATTATATTCATCCTATTGAATAGCAAATAAGACTCTGATCTATGGTGTAGGTATACATAATAGAGTAGACTAATCGAACTCTAGGCTAATATTGATTTTGTTCTGTGGATAGGCAATGTCAAATTAGTGAGCAACATGATCCAATTAGAAAATCGTTGAAGATATTTGTCACTATGAAAAAATATACTGTTAAGTCGTTTTAACTTCAGCACGAATTCGTTCACGAAATGATTCTTGCTCATATTCGTCAACTAGATCGAATTTATTCACGATAATATTATAATGTAAATTTAGTTGATTAAAAAATTTCAGTATTTTTGAATTTTCTTTGATTGTATTTTTCAATTAGAATTAGACGATATCTTATGCTTATTCAACGAACAAAGTTAAGATCTCTATATGATTCATATTTTGTGATTACTTCACCAACACTGACTTCAAGTTCAAACTTTCTGAAAAGGCTATTGATCATAGTCGATTTGTCCCTTGATGTCGATTTGAGAATAACAATATGATTACCTTTAGTTACCATTGGTTCAACTTGCTTGGCTAGTCTGATCAAAGCTTCTTCTGATATTGATCAAGATTTTCAGGTAACTCGATCTCTTCGTTACATGATTTTTCTGTTGATAGCTGAAGAAAATGTTCTCGCAATTTGTTTAATTCATGTTTATGATGTCTTTTCAGTAGAGCGATACATTCTTCACTTTCTTGAAGTTGTCAGTCCAGTACTTTTTCTTCCAAGTACAAGGGTGTGGATATCTCTTTTCTTAGTCTACATCAACACTCACACTCATCCATCCACACCCACACCCATATCCATCTAATATGGAACATAAGGCTGTTCACTTACTTAATTTACTTGATGAAATACTACTAAAATATTATAAAAAATCTTCGTTCTGTTGATGTCCTTTATTCATTATGATGGAGAGTGAACAAACGACTCGATAGAATAGTAAGATATATCGTTTACATGCAATCTTCAGACTACTCGATTATATCATCAAATGCTCAATTTTGTTCAGTTGTTGATATTTTACTTGATCAATTCTGCAACCTAATACTACCTCAAATATATCAGTACTTGAAAGTACTTATTTTTGAACAATTATGTATGACACGCATTCTCTTCGCTTGCCAATATCTTAAACTTCCTAAAATCGAAATTATAAATTATAGATCAGATATTTTTCTCAATATTTAACAGGCATATAATGCTCTTTGATAATTGAAGCGAGCTTATTTAGGAATGTAGGCTGTGCATGTGGGTGTCGCCCTATAAGAGTAAATGTGAATGAGGATGCAGCAGCAAATGAGAACGAAATGTGCTACGGCACATGCCAACCTACACCGACGCCGACAACAGAACTCACAAGCAAGCCCAACCATCCATATCCACACTCATCTATACTCAGATTCACATCCTTTCTATTCTAGTTCGTATTTTTTAATCGATGATGATGATTTCTAATAGTTGAAACAGTTCACTATTATTAATTCATGAAACAGATTTAGGATTTGAACAGCATTGAACTGTTTGTTGTAGGAATATATTGATATTGGTTTCAATTCGGATAAAATAAATTCATCATTAAATTACGTCACCCCATAAATACAGATTGAAATCAGATTATGTCGACTCTTCAAATTGTTCATAATTATGTAACATGTAGTAAAAACAATTCTTATTCTAAGTTTTTACTAATGTCAGTTAAATTATCAGAGTATTTATTATTAATCACTTATTGACAACTACTATCATGTCACACGTGCGAGTATTAAGAAATTGCAAAACACTAATGTAACAAAAACCATATAAAAAAGTTATAAAATATAGAAAAAAAAAGAAGTTAGAGCTCATTCTTATTTTTTTTTCACTACACATTCACACGTCAAAATGAAATGTCATTGCATGAATCGCATTACATAGGATGAATAGTAATAATACCAGCATCCATTAATTTATGAATTTTTTGTGCAATAGTTGGATCTCGTAAATGTTCACGTATTGCGAGAGGTTCATTCTGGATTTGGTCAAGTATTAAACACATTGTGGGATCATCAAGAATTTGTTGAATTTCAGAATCAGCAAGTGCACGTTGAAGGACTTCTTCAGGATCATCACTTGATCCAACTGTACATTGTTGATAGCCTTCCATCGCTTCCTAAACACATATAGTTTATATCTGTGATCAAAATAAAATTTCTTTTTTGTTTTTTCTTTACTTGATTATTTGGATGAGTTTCAAGAACTTTTTTAAATACAATCATAGCCTGAGAAAAATTTTTCGTGGCCATTAAAGCATGACCCTTATGAAGGTAGCATTCAACTATAAAATTAAATTGCTTAACTGTCGATTTATTCATGTTGTAAAAACTTACCAAACGTTGGATCAATTTTAATTCCTTCCTCACTGTCTTTCAATGCTAATCCAAATTCCATTAGTTTTATAAAACAAGCTGCTCGATTCGAATAAAGTCGTGCGTTTGATGGATTTCGTTTAATAGCTTCACTACAATACATGAACAATTGAAGAAATCATACGTTCAATAGATATCAAAACAGTTGGCTTTACGTATAATGTTTAAGTGCATTTGGATAATCAGCTTTTTGAAAAAATTCATTTCCTTTAGTCTTTTCTTGTTCAGATAATTCCGGATTAAAATAAGCAAGTTGTTCTTGTTCTTTAAGGATCTTTTCAATTTCTTCTTTTCTTTTTATTATATCCGGATTTCGATATTCCAAAAGTGATCGATTAAAATATTTAATAGCTTCTTGATAATTTTTTTCTTGTACTTTTACATTTCCTATACGAACACAAGCTCTACAAACGAAATCATACATGAATAATATTCTTCTCTGTTTCTTTCATTCTTACTTGGCAATTAATTTATAATCAGCTTTATTTTCACGTCCAATATCTATAGCTTTTTCACATTGTTTTATACAATCATCCCATCGTTTTTGTTCAAAATAAACAGCTAAAAAATAACATATTTGATCAAATATATAGAATTTCAATCCTAACCTGCTCTATTTGTATAGTAGATCATATTGTTTGGATCGAGTTCTGTTGCTTTGTTATAATAATTTAATGCTGTTTCAAAATCTTTTTTCTTGTAGGCTTCATTACCTTTCTCCTTTTGTTCTTCGGCCTAACGCGATAACAATTCAATGAAAATAAATGAAAAAAAAGAGTATAGATATAGACAACTAGACAATAAAAGAATTTCATAATTTTGGAGTGAGCAATAATGTAAACGTGTGGATTTTCTCTCGAACAACATTTAGTATAATGATAGGTTAATGAGATAGTAATTCTCGTTTCTTGTTGAATAATAGAACTCATAGTAAGAAGACTCATGATATATGATAACTTGTTTTCAACTCAAATGATCATGACTAAGCTAGTTTTTTTGATCTTAATTTCTAATTAAGTATATATACTAGAAGTTTGAGATTTCTAGTCTTAACAATGGCTAATATCACAGAGGACAGTGCGGATTCAACATAAATTATGTTTATCATTTAGTTGTGTATGAATTATTCTATATATTTTATTACTTGTTTTTGTTCTGGTGTTAAAGTTTTATTTTGTTGTTCATTTGTAGTTGTTGTTGTTGACGTATTTGTTTGTTTTTTTACATTCATTGCTTTTTGATTGCCATGACTATTTCCAGTGCCCACATCAAGTACAGTTCCAATTAATTTTAGTACTTTTGGATTAGTCAATAAACTAAATAAAATAAACTATTTGTACTTTCACATTGAGACTATGGTTTTATATATAAAACATACGTAGTATTATTTGGTTGATCTTGTAATAGTTTCATAAGTTTAGCTGTTTCAGGATCTTGTAGAAGTTGTTGAGCTTTTGGATTTGTAACAAGTTGATGTATGAATTGTGGATTAGAGAAGAAACCTATTTCATTAGCTATTGATTTATTATTTGTATATTTTCGTACATTTTCTAGATCAGTAAGTAATTCTTGATTGTTTGAATCGATTTTAAGACCCTCTTCATAAATGCGTATTGCATCGTCGTATCGATTTAGAAATGATAATGCAGTACCCTTTCTTAAGTATCCCTAAAACAAAAGAAAATTTCGTTTTCTTATTCTCTATCTTTCAATCTTGACAATTATATTTTTACTTGAATAAAATCAGGTTTGAGTGCAATACATTTTTCGGCATCTTTCAATGCATCTTCATATTTATTTAATTTAGCATAAACAGCTGAACGATTACTGTATAGTACATAATTTTTTTCGTCGAGATTTATTGCTTGAGTATATAAATTAACTGCTTGATCATTTTCACCAGCTGAAAAAGCAGCATCGGCTTTAGATTTTAATTCTTCTACCTGAAGATAGATATACAACTATGACATGATATATATTGTATAGAATCTAACCTGAGATGTCATCAAGAGATAGAGAATAAAGATGATATGAATACGAGAAAGATCTACAGTATTATATTTAAACAATCAATTTATTTCGAGGACAATAAACAAAAATATTGATGGAAGTTCTAGAAACAAATATCCGATTCTTTTCATTTTACTTGAAACTGATTTGGTAATATTTTCCTCCATATAGAAACTGCTCGGAAATCATCTGATCAATATATTATCGTTCTGACAATATTTTCTTCCAATGTTAGCGTATGTGGCATTCAAGACATTTCACCAATAGAAAAGGAATGCATGATTTCTGAATACACTCTCGTATACTTCATTGATTGATAACTAGCGACAATGCATTAGTCGTTTGTATATTCAAGGAAAGATAACATAAGTTTCACACATACGGTATTCTTGACAACAAATATGTATATGTTAACATTCCATAGATATATATGTCTACGTTTATTAGTAGGAAAAACAAACTAATCTGAATAGCAACTATTCATTCAAGTAAATTTCAAATGGATATTCGATTTCTTGTTACACCTATCGCAATACCCATTGCACTAGATTGTGTTGAACAATTGCTCCATGCCGTACGCGGATAGAAAACTTTTTACTCGTACAAAAATTATCTGAGAAAGATGTTAAAAATCTTAGTAAATTATAATGATCTATAAAATGAAATAACTGTATTGATGTAAAGATATAAATTATAAATTAACAAATAAGTTCATAAATCTTTATCTACTAGAACGACTGTTACCCAAATTAATACAAGCATGATAAAATGTCCATAAAAGCTCGATGTTCATCCTGATGTTATTGATTTTTTTTTTGGTCGTAAAGCACTTATGCATGCTCCTGAACATGGTCATATTATTGTTATACAATTGTTATGTGAAGCAGAAGTTGATTCAATCATTCAAGGTTTTGAAGGAAAAGGTAACAAAAGTGTTTTGAATTTTGAAAAGAAAGCAACTACTTGGAAAAAAACAAACGCGACACAGAAGGAATGTTAACGTGTAGGAATAAAAATTGAAACACTCAAACTTCTGTACTTGCTCTAATTCACTCAAAGACATACACTACGTCTTAACAAAGTTTCCACTCACGTCTGACATGACGATTGCTATTGATAATCGGAAAGTCAGCAAGAAACGTATGTTATTTCATCGAAATGACTAACAAGACAGGCTCAAAAAGGTTTTATTGAACATATCACCGATATGGATATGGAACGAGTTCGAATGCAACAACTTTGTATGCGATGAAATTCAATAGTGCCACAGACGTTGATCCCAAAACAGATAGCATTAGACTATGTCATATTTGAAACGTTAATTTCGTAGTGATGATGTTAAAAGATTATATTTTAAATGCAGTTTACTATTCTTTTATTGAAGCAACCGATCATCATAAAACGTGCTTTAAAAAGTTGTATGTGATGCTTCTCAAGAATATAAAGAGTTTGTTCATATTTTCAGATGTTCCACAGAAAATAAAACGCACAGCATTGCACATAATACTTGTTTATCTGAAGAGTGTGGGTGTGAAATTAATATCAACACTCTCACCCGCACCCATACCCAATCTGTTTGATCAAATGTTGCTTATCAAACTATTTGATTTTGCTGATAGGAATTATGATCTCAAATATTGTATTCAGAATCCATGTCACTCATATGAAAATTTTTTGAGTCAAACTATGTCTAAAATGCTTTTCCAAGTGAAAATGCATCCAGACACATGTTGGATTTAATATTTAAAAACTGGAAATATACATGTAAATCTCTAAATACTTACTTCAGTCTTACATGAGTTATCAGTTTATCTAGAGGATACTTCTTTATATCAAATAGAGAATATATTTATAGCTAGGTTCACTTTTTTCCAGATGTAGATAAGAATTTTTTCTGACAAATGTAACGCTATCTGCATTATTGAGCAAGATAAGTCTCAGAGAGAAAATACAGTGTTTTAAATGTTGTTAAGAATGTAACAGAAGAAGAATAATTGTATATACATTTTCGATAACTGAAAAAGTATTCGATTATATCAAGAAAATTCAATGCAAATTCATCGCTGCCATAAACCAGGAATATGATTTAAATTTTATTTATAGTAACTTCAACATCGGAAGGACAAACCTTATCAATAAGACAAAACATAATGTTCTATGCTCACATACATGAAAGTGGTCGAATATCAATTATTAACAAAAGCCTATTAATTAGACCCCCTCTTGACAAAGTACTCTGAAAGTTTAAACAGCTTATATTTATCCGGTTCATAAAGTGAGCAGTCTCTAACTATACTCTAACATAAATTATGATTAGCCAGAAATTCATAAAGTGTTAACCAATTGTTTGTTGGATAATAATTATGAAAGACAAGAAACCATCTAACAGATGTATTTGTTTATTGAAGATAATCAATAATTAAATCAAAATATTGACTTCTCACTTACTAATTAAGGTCGTAGTTAATGCTCTACAGATAAAGGAGAGTAAATTTCTTCAAATATTTCTTGTATTATTTTTGGTTGTATTTTTCTACATCTCGGAACGAAAGCAGCAATTTCAATTTTTCTTCTCTCTCTCTCTTATCCATGGATACTTTGAGCATAATAAATATGCACAACAATAAGACAAAATGTTCTACATGTATTGAGAATAAAAATGACTAATTCCCATCACTGGCGGATCCACCATTTCGGCTATTCGGCGATCGCCGCCCCTTGGAAATGGAAGTGACGCCAAAAATTTTTAAAATATTTGGGTAACAATAAAAAGTTGAAAATAAAATCAGTAAATGAAGTTAGTGGAGTAAGCACGTGGGAGACTAGGGGAACCTGAGCCATCTTCCCAGGATTGTTTGAGCCTTCCCTAGAAATTTTTTAGTTCTCATGAAAAATAGAATTGTTTTTCCTTTGGGCGGCTATTCTAAGCAGAGTGAGCAAGACATTTGAGTTCATCCTATGCAATATCCGATATTTTTCTTTGATAAAATGAAAGAACAATATTAATTTTTCAAACTAACGGAGATATCGATTAACTTCTCTGATGAAAAAAATTATTTACTCATTTCTGATTGTGAAAAGTTTTCGATCTAGTCATTGTAGTCTCAATATACTTTCATAAGAGAGATAGAGAAATGTTTGTGTTATATTCAAATTATTGATCTGATTGGTAATGAATCTGTTTTCAATAAGTTTTATTTGGAATTTCTCATTACGACTGTTAGTAATGGG